AGACCCCTTTGGCAAATAAACACCATTTTGAAGGAACCTGAAAATTTTCAAAATGATTCCGTAGAAAAATACCTCTCAAAAGGTACCCCTTATATCAAGGCTATACGAAAACCTGTTCCTACATAAGTAATTTGTTGTGGTACGAAATTCGAAACAATTCTTGTGAAAAATACCACTAAAATCATCAAAATACCGAATATAGGGAAGTATTGTTATATGGGTGCCAAACGAAATCATAGGTTATAGTACTTATTACGAACCTTAAATACAAAAAGAAATCCCTAAATCATTAAAATACCGAATATTGGGAGGTACCGTTGGGGGCTTTATGAAAACATGGACCTACATGGCACATTTACGAACTTAATAATAATAAGGTACCTTTATATCGGGGCTATACGAAGACCTGGACCTGTATACGCAATTTTTAGTCACAGGTACCTAATAGGAACTTCAAATGCGAAATTTCAAATAATTTCGGTGAATATTGTACCTAAAATCATCAACATACCGAATATTCGGAGGAGCCGTTATATCGGGGCTATACAAAGACCTGGACCTGCAGGAACAATTTTCTGTCTTAGGCTGTAGTATCCATTACGAACTTCAAATACGAAATTTCAAACAACTCCGGTGAATATTATTGCTAAAATCATCAAAATACCGAATATTTAAAGATACCGTTATATGGAGGCATTGCGAAGACCTGAACATGCACAAACAATTTTCCGTCACAGGCTGTAGTACCTATTAGGAACTTCAAATACAAAATTTGCTTAGAAAGAACTTCTAGTATGGATTTTTAGACAATTGCTTTAAAAAATGTAAGCTGTTGCTTTAAAATGTAACGTGGACCGATGTAGCCATTTTCTAAACCATTACCCTAGGAAATACAAACTTTAGAACCAAATTTCAAAAATACATTTAAAATAATGTTGGTTCTCTCTAGATTTCAACAGACAGTCGGGGGACGTTAAGGAACCTGGAATTTTATGCTGATCCCCAATATGCATGATATTCTTTATAGAGACTATGATGAATATTTTGAGGTATTTATAGATGTGTTCCAGAATCTGCAATATAGTACTCTATTGCACTAGTTTTACAATAAAGAGAAGAGAACACACACACATATGACGTTCTCTTTTACTACTATTTACTAAGCGAATTTGGCTGAGCAGCATGGTTGTCAGCTTATGATTGGCTGAGCTTTTGATTTAAAGGATTGCCATCTAATTTGGACATTTATCCGGTACATTCTGGGTCAATTAGTGCTCTCAGAGTGAATCTAACAAGGGTTAGCGTTTCGAAAAACCCTTTAAATGGATGCAGCTCTTGATTTGACGAATACTGCAGTGGATTTTCATTATAGCCGACTGGAAATGTGAAAAGTCCTTCCAAAAGAAAATTAATTTTCCTCTAGCTTGAAGTCCTTCTTTATCTCCAGACATTATAAAATAACAGAAAAATTGTATAACTTGGAATGGGAAAAACAGAAAGAACTATTATTGATAATTGTCGTGTTTTTTTTTTTTTTTTTTTTTTTTTGTTTTTGTTCTAAACTCTAACTCCGAAACCATGAATCTGAACCAGAAAAAGATCCCATTACCAAATAATAGGTTTCCTTTTAAATATTTGGCAATCGTAGCTATTTATTAATTAACCTACTAAATGAATACTTTTACCAGGCCCCGGCACCTGAAAAAGTTTTTTTCTGGCCACTAAAAGCCGACAAATACGTCTTCTTTTTTTTAAACCACTTCTTCTATTTATTTATTTTTATCCATCAACAACTTATTGTATTTTATTGTCTTTCTTTATCCAAAAAATGGAGTCTCAAACACAAGCGTGAACACTCTTTGCCGAAGTTACTTATTACTTGGTAATGTGTTTTTTTTTTTTTTTTTTTTTTTTTTTTTGGAATATTTTTACCTAATGTTGTTTCGTTAGACCCATATAGTGAGTCCTGCTATTCTGTCCTCTACGATAAGATCTATAAAAACTTTCAAAAGAAAAATATCGCAATTCAATATTCAAACAAATCAAAGAGGCTGGTGCCACTTTCCTTCTAGGTATGCAAATTTGGATCCCTCCTATCCACGAATTTGCGGATAGGTAAAATCTTGTCATTTTTGTAAAATATTACATCTCTAAATACCTCCTAGAAATGAGCTGTTCCTTGGAAGTTTATTACCACTTGGTGAGATGTCATCCATGAGTTTGAGGATTTCTCCACTGTCTATGTCCAGTCTAAATCCCTCGGAAGTTTATATTATTCATTAAGTCGTCAGTGAGGTCCATTAGGCTGCAACCACTTGGTGGAATCTCATCCATGAGGTCGAGAATTTCCTTACAGTGTACGTCCAGCCCGTCCTTGGATGTCACTAGCGTACTGCGTGTGTATTTCCTTCGGAGTAATTTACCCCCTGGAAGATTATTGTCTATATAAGTGCATGATATCGTATATCCCCCACATATCGATACCTCCTTATATTCGGTATTTTGATTGTTTTAGCTACATTTTCAATAGAATTGTCTAAAAATCCATACTAGAAGTTATTTTCAAGCACTTTACTCCCTCACCGGAGTTGTTTCAAATTTAGAGTTCCTAATGGAAAATAAAGTTTATGATAGCAAATTGTCCATCCAGGTCCAGGTCTTCGTATAGGCCCTATATATTAGTAATATTTTGGGTACAATATTCATACGAATTGTTTCAAATTTGGTATTTGAAGTTCGTAATGGATACTACAGCCTACGACAGAAAATTGTCTGTGCAGGTCCAACTCTTCGTATAGTCCCCATATAGCGACACCTCCCTATATTCGGTATTTTGATGATTTTAGCGACATTATCCATCGGAATTGTTTCAAATGTGATATTTAAAGATAATGGTAATGGATACTACAGCCTAAGACAGAAAATTGTTTGTGCAGGTCCACATCCTCGTATAATTCCATATAACGGCACCTCCTGATATTCGGTATTTTTATGATTTTAGCGACATTATTCACCGGAATTGTTTCAAATTTAGTATTTGAAGTTCGTAATGGATATGAAAGCCTATAATAGAAAATTGTCTGAACAGGTCCACGTCTTCGTATAGTCTCCATATAACGCCACCTTCTGATATTCGGTATTTTGATGATTTTAGCTATATTATTCACCGATTTTTTTTTAAGTTTCGCATTTGAATATTTTAATGGCTTATGACAAAAGTCGCATACCCGGTCGTCGTATAGAACCTAATATAACAGCTTTATTCGTTATTTTTAAAATTTTAAAGGAATTTTTAACGAATTTAATTTTTTTTCAAATTCGGAGGGTATTCAAAGATCGGCCAGGCCGAACTTACAGCTTTTTTACTTATTTTTATCTTATTTCTTCTAAGACCAATGGGTCAGATTTTCTAAATTTATTGTCGATTATTGATTCATCGTCTTCACAGTCAACCTGCCTACATACGACCAGTTTTTTTTTGAGTACTCTTCCCAATCCCTGCAGTCCTGTAATACAATAAATTCTTCTTAATTTTGTTAGCAAATTTGACTATGTCCCCAATTCTAGGGAGCATTGCTGCAGAAATAGCCCTCAAAATGACAATTATATTGAATAAAGGACCTGAAATCGAACTTTTAAAATTTTGTGCCAATTTTATGAATAAAAAAAGTTTAAAAATAAATAAAAAATAAAATATTCTGATATTGTAACTAAAAATACTCTGAAGCATGTTCTATCCACTTTTACAAAAAAAAAAAACACAATAACGTAACAAAATTTTATATAATGGGAGCCTAAAGCATCAATAAGTACTGAAGTATCTGAAATGTAGTATCATATTAAGAGGGACTAAAATTACTGAGTCACAAATAGGCTTACGTCAATCCCAGTTTGCCTTCATATGTTTGATTTCTAGGAATATATCTAACATAACTTCTCAATGCTCCTATAGGGGATATGAGGTAAATTCCTAGAAAACAATCAGAAGAAGACAATTTAAACTTGATTGTTAACGGTAACATTTAACAAATTTACTGCGCGTTTAACACAAATTTTTGAAAGAACGTTTAAAATTTTTATTTGGTTTAATTTTGACAATGGACCAATTACAATAAATTTAATTTATATTTTCCCATAATAAAATGAATTGTGATTAGTCGAATATAACATTCTTTAAATCAATAATAAATTCTTAAACACAAAATCCTAAATTATAATAAATAAATGCATTTTTCAATTTCATTCAAGGGTCAATACTATTGCTAAAAAATTATTTGAGTTTGAGTTGTAACAATTTTTTTGACTTTCTCTCTTCTCTTTTGGTAAAAAAATAAATTAGCTTAAACTCTTTAGCTCTCCCTACTCTCTGTCTATCTATCAATCTATCTTTTATATATTTCTTATAGAATCCAAAAAAATCAATTAGTTTAGATTATTTAGAAATCCCCAATTATAGCTAAATGAATATTCCATGTTAATTTATGATTTTTTTCCTTATCTTTCTTTTCTTTTATTTCAAAAAAAAAAAACGAAAAAAAAAATAATTTCATAAAAACAACAATGTTTGTGTAACTTTCGGTAATTGCTGCGATAAACATTTTAATCAAAACAAACAAAAAAAACCTGAAAACCTGGTTCCAACCGTGCGTATCTCTGTTTTGTATCTTTACTGCAAAAAAAAAATAATAAATGTGTGTGTAATGTAAAAAAAACGAAACAAACAAAAAACATACCCATGAACCCAATCAACAATATGGCGCCCAATCAATTGCCATCATCAAATGCAACATCGAACTTCACCACCATTAAAAAAAACGACAAACAACCTGTAAAATGTAATTTTGCAACCAAAAAAAAAATAAACATAAAACATTGTTGGTTATCATCGTACCCCCCGCCCGTTAAAACTCATTGCCAATTGACAAAATTGTCAATTCCGGTTGAACCTTATCTCCCTTTCACCCACCACCTGCAATCCCGTGCAATTGCGCCTCATGCAGGTTTCATGATGAAGAACATGCAAATCTGCTGAACGCTATGTGGCTGATAGCAATAACATTTTTAAGTGTTGGTTTTGGTGATATTGTACCGAATACATACTGTGGACGCGGTATTGCCGTTAGTACAGGAATCATGGTGAGTTATTTTTTTGACAATATACAATACTTGGATAACATAAATACATATATATATACTTTTAAGACACTACACATAATGACCATACAAGACTATATAATAACACATTTATTTAATACTATTATAAAAACCAATTTTATATTTATAATATTTTACAGATTTTTATAAATAATTTTTTTCTTGATATAGGAACGGAAATAAAATACACAAATCTTGGACTAAAATTGAGAAAAAAATTAGACATAATTATAAAGTCATATTAAGTCAGAAAATGTAGGAAACATTTAAAAGCGTGCCAAATTTTTTTATTTGGTTTTTTTCTAAATACCTAAGGAATATCAAAATTCTGTATCTTTGGTGAAACTGATTAAAATTGTTTTTAGTCAGAAAATAGTTTATCTTTTTCGTGTTTTTAAATATGATCGGTTTTTGGTCAGAAATTCATGACAGTGAAACTAAATTATTTCAGTTTGCACTCAGCGTTTCGCTTCAACTTCAGGAACTTTTCAAAAAATTCCTATGACAATGACAATGGCATATTTTTATAAATCGTTCATATTTATGTATACCTACTCTGGCAAGTGTATACGTCACATGGGAAAATAGTTTTACAACTCTCTCCGATAATTCACAGTAGCTCCAACAAATCTCGTTTACATTTATGTAAGTAAAAAAAAATATTTTAGAGTTTTTGCCTTGTTAAGGCGAAGATCATATGTTTTATGATTTATGTGTCTATCTGGCTTTCCTTTTCACTGCAAATTTCAGATCATTAAGCTCGTCTCGAAAGAGAAAACAAACACATAAAAAATATTTTAATTCGTTTAAAGTAAAAAAAAATAATAAATATTAAAAGAGGTCATATTTCAATGCCAAACCAAGCTTGTACACTTCGTATAATTTAAATTAGTTCTAGACATTAATATTTTGTATGCATTCCTTTAATTTTTTTACCATTTGTTGCCTGGTTGATATACTTTTAACAAGTTTTTCGCAAAAGCTAGGTTCATTTTTTGACATTCTTCCAATCTTCTTTTCAAGATATGGTATGCTGGCGGATTTTTCCATCGAGATAGCTCCATAAATTCTCTATGGGATTTATGTCTGGACTCTTGGCTGGTGTATCCATGACGTGGGGACAATTATATATAAGTCATGACCGCACTTTATAAGCCATGTGTTTCCAATCATTGTCTTGATAAAAATAATAATCTTCGCAAAGGCCAAAGTTTTTTCTTACAGAGTGGCAAACTTTCTTTCAAAATTTTAAGGTACATGGGCCAGAGGCTGAAAATGAACTCCACACCATTACTGGCCCACCACCGTGCTTCACTGTAGGCTTAATATTTTTTGACAAGGAGCGCTTCATTTGCCTTTCTCCATACATAAGGTCTGCCCTGTGAACCAAAAAGGTTGAATTTGCTCTCGTCTGTAAACAGCACATTCTTCCAAAATGATAAATCTTTTGATATGTGCTCCTTTGCAATTCGTAATCTTACTTCTTGATTTTACTTGCTGATTAGAGGTTTATGTCTATTTTGGCCCATTGAGGTGATTGACACTTTGGTATTTTTTAGTGCCAACCTTGCTTTCCAAAGTACTCCAGACACAATAGTCCAACAGATTGGTATCCGGAGATTTTGGTGGCCATTGTACGCTGAAATGAAGCGAGAAAGTGAACCTCATTTTGTAACCAATCTTGGGTGGCGCATGCTGAATGCGATGGTGCTGAGTCCTATTGGAACGTCCAAGGTCTACGGCAAAAATATTTGCTTGCCCAAGGCTTTAATACACCCTCCAGAATAGTTTCGCGATAATATTCGACATTTATTCTGACACCACGGTCGATTAATACGAGCGGAGAGCGGCTATCGGCTGTTATGGCGGCCCACACCATCACCATGGCCGGCGCTTGAGTTCTGGTGACCAACCGAAGGTGCACATTTTCAGCTGACCTCTTTGGCAAGTAAACACGATCAATTTGTTTGTTTACAAACTGCTGGACAACGAATGTTTTCTCATCGGAGAAAACTAAATTCGGCAGTTCTCCACCTTCGGCCAAGTGAAGCTACTTTTTAGCTCTTCCGAGTCTATTTTCTTTCTATTGCGTTGTAAGTTCTTGCACTTTTTGGAATTTCAATGGCTTTACCCCGAGCTCATTTTTCAATATTTGCCGAATGGAATATTGTGATATGTTTAGCTCACGAGCCATTTATCGTCCACTGCGACGAGGGGTTCGATCAAGTCGCTTCTTTACTTTTCGAACCATTTCTGCTGATGTTGCTGTTTTCTTCCCTCCATTTCCTTGACGTTGGGCTACGCAACCAGTATCACGGTAACGAGCGATGATACAAAACACAAAAGATTTATTCACATTTGGTGCAAAATTAACCCGAAATCGGTTGAAGATATAGACGGGAGTTATACCCAAATCTGAACCGATCTATATAAAATCCGGCACAGGTATTTTCTGGTACAAAATATCATATTTTTCGAATCCATATTACGAATGTGGGGGACTTAAACGCCAGATCGGGTGAAACATATATATGGGAGTTACAGTTATATCTGACCCGATTTTCTCCGAATTCGATGTACTTGCTTCTAGACTGAATTCCGTCTGATGTACCAAAATTCAGGACTTTTGGACTGTTATTGGGAATTTGATGAAAAATTTACCCGAAATCGGTTGAAGATATATATTGGAGCTATATCCAAATCTGAACCGATCTTCATAAAAATTGGCAGAGGTATTTTCGAGCTCTATATGTTATCTGATACCAAATATTATAATTGTCGAATGCATATTACAAATGTGAGGGGCTTAAACACCAAATCGGATGAAACATATATATGGGAGCTATAGCTATATTTGAACCGATTTTCACCAAATTTGATGTACTTGCTTCTAGCCTGAATACGGTCGAATGCACCAAAATTCAGATCATTTGTACTTGTATTGGCCATTTGGTGACATTGGCCAGAATCTGTTGAATATGTATATGGGAGCTATATCTAAATTTGAAGCAATTCTCACCAATTTCAATAGGGCTCGTCCTTTGGCTAATCCAATATTCTCAATCGGATAATAAATGCGACCTGCATTTTGTTCACAAGACGGAGGCTTAACTCTAGTTTAGTAAAAACTCTTTGATTTTTTTGAAATTTTTTCCAGGGGTAGTTATTTTTACCCTGATTCCGGGAAACTATTTTTTCTTGGGGGACGGACCCGGGACCCGAGATGTTTAACCCGAAAACCCAGGTTCAAGACCCCGACTAGATATAGACAATATAGGTATCATTGGTACTTGTATTTCCAACGCCGGTTAGCGAAATAAACCTTTTTTATTGGAAACATAATTTTAATGAACTGGTGAGAATCGGGTTATGCTGGTGGAAAGACCCATAGACTGGACCCGAAAAAGGTATTAGCACAAATTGAAGCATTTTGGAAAGGTAAGAGTGTCAGCAATAATTTAGCATCAATTTGGTTTAACTCCATAATGGGTCTTTTTCGACTTTTTGGGGTATTTAAAAAAATCTGCATCCAAAAAATCAATAATTTGACTATAACTTCCGAACCGTTTAAAAATTAAATGTGGCCACTTGTTGGATAGCTATTTTCATAAGCTTTCCAATGATAATTATATTGTCTATATCAGGTAACTGGATCCGGGTCTAGTCGGGGTCTTGAACCCGGACTTTCGGGTTAAAAATCTGGGGTCCTAACTACCTCTGGAAAAAAATTCGAAAAAATCAAAGAGTTTTTACTAAACTAGGGTTGTTTCCAAATTTGACAAGAAACTCTTGCTCCAAAAACTAAACAACATATGTTACCTAAATTTGAGAGAGTGAGAGAGAGAGAAATGCAAAATATAGTTCTCTTCTGCTATATTTTGCCAAATTAGGGGTAACTAGGTAGAAAAATGAAAAAAAAAAAAAAACAAACATTCAAGCGTCAACACACAATAGATAGGCTGACTTCACAGTTTGCAAGGCAGTACTGCAAAGAATTTCTTTCATTTTAACGTTAATTTTTCAATGACAATTTTATATGTGAGAGTAATTTTGGGTAATTTGCCTTTTCGCTAGTTTCATCATTCAAAACAATACGGGAACATAACTATTATTATTTAACCCCCTAGCAGCTTCTCAGTCTTAAAGATGTTCTTCTCCCCTCGTTTCAATTTGTCTTCTTTTTTGTTGGTGTCCTTTCCAACTCTTCTCCTTTGCATCATCTATTCCATTTGTGGTTTTCCTATGAATTTTTGCAACCGCATATGATTGATGCCTCATGGGAAATTGTCAAATCAATACAGCAGATATGTTGTTACAACAAGAACAGCAACAAAAGAAGAGAGTGCAGATTGGATAGGAAAGAATGCCCGAATGAATGTGACATGTGGACATGTTCATACCGCATGAATCGGAATAGATGAAGGGACTTTAATAAAGGGAGTAAGGGAAAGTTTTTTTCACAATTGAAGGACATCAGGATGAGAAATGCAGGCGACTGTGTGAATGAAAATTTATGGCATTTCTAAGAAAATTGGAGTTCTCCCATATTGAATTTGCAAGATATTCCACGCCGAGTGCCCAATTTAGGGCAGGTGTCCTAAAAAGATTTTTAAGATTAAATTTGCAGGCTATTCCGTACCGAGTACCGAACATAGGGCAGGTGTACTAAAAAAGAGCCTGAAATGCTGAAAGGGGCTTATCAATAAGATATAATTATTTCAGAGGTCTTAATGATTGGACCATTGACTATTACGCTGATTTCAGGTCTAGTATTCCGACTAACACTGAGTTTATAATCCATTCTGACACAAACGTCTATGACCTTAATTAATCTCAAATAAGGCCGAAGTCAGTAGATAAACATTAATGAGAATTATAACTCTCTAAGAAATTAAAGGAAATCAGATCCTCTAAAGAGCAGAACTCTACAAAACCGCCGAACAAGAACAAACCAAAGAGACGGCCACAAATTATCAGCCAGA